CTGACAACACCAAGTCAAGGGTTAAGATCACCTTACTGGTCATCTTTAAAAAAAAAAAAAAGAAATGCTACTGATTTTTGTTGATGTTGATTTTGTGGATGTTGATTTTGTATCCTGAAACTCTTTAGGTTTCTCTATATATAGAATTATGTCATCTACTGATTTTTGGATGTTGATTTTGTATCCTGAAACTCTTTAGGTTTCTCTATATATAGAATTATGTCATCTGCAGAAAGGGACAACTTTACTTCTTCCTTTGATGCCATTTATTTCTTTCTCTTGCAAAATTGCTCTGGCTAGGACTTCCAGTACTATGTTTAATAGAAGTGGTGGGAGTGGACATCCTTGTCTTGCTCCAGTTCTTAGGGGAAAAGTTTACAGCTTTTTGCATTCAGTATAATGTTAGCTGTGGGTTGGTCAATTTATTAAGATAAATTTTTTCTATACCTAATTTGGTGAGAGTCTTTATCATGAAAGGATGAATTTTGTCAAATGCTTTTTCTGTGTCTATAGAGATGATTATGTGTTTTTTTTTCTTTCATCCTGTTGATGGATGTATTACGTTTCTTTATTTGCATATGTTAAACCATCCTTGCATCCCTGGGATAAATCCCACTTGATCATGGTATATAATCTTTTCAATGTGCTGTTGGATTCAGTTTGGTAGGTTTTTGTTTTGTTTTGTTTTGGGTTTTTTGGAGAATTTTTGCATCTATGCTCATTAGGGATATTGGCCTATAGTTTTCTTTTTTGATGTATGCTTGTCTGGTTTTTGTATCAGGGTAATGCTGGCCTTGTAGTATGAGTTTGGAAGAATTCCATCCACTTCAACTTCTGAAAATAGTTTAAGAATCATTGGTATTAGCTTTTCTTTAAATGTTTGGTAGAATTCAGTAGTAAAGCCATCTGGTCCTGGGTTTTTTTTGGTGGGAGTCTTTTTATTACTGATTCCATCTTGTTACTTGTTATTAGTCTATTTAGGCTTTCTATTTCTTCTTGGTTCAATTTTGGTATTGGTAGGTCATATGTTTCCAGGAATTTATCCATTTCTCTAGGCTTTCATATTTATTGGTACATAGTTGTTCATAATTGTCTCTAACAATACTTTGTATTTTGGTGGCATTACTTGTAATGTCTCCTTTTGCATTTCTGATTTAATTTATTTGGGTCTTTTCTATTTTTTTCTTGATTAGTCTGGCTAATGGTTTGTCAATTTTGTTTATCTTTTCAAAGAACCAACTTTTTGTTGGATTAATCTTTTGTACTGTATTTTTAGTCTCAATTTTATTTATTTATGCTCTGATTTTTATTCTTTATTTTCTATTTATTTTTTATTTTGTTTGTTCTTGATTTTGTAGTGCATTTGTAGTTCTTTGATTTTGAGGTGCATTGTTAGGCTGTTTAAATCTTTCTTTCTTTTTTTTTTTGGATGCAAGCATTTATTGCTATAAAATTTCCTTGTAATTCTCAATACTTCCCTAGCTGTAACCCATAGGCTTTCACATGTTGTGTTTCTGTTTTCATTAGTTTCAAGAAATTTTAAGTTTCCTTCTTAATCTCTTCTTTGATCCACTGGTCATTCAAGAGCATGTTGTTTAATTTTCATGAATTTGTGTAGTTTTGCATGTTCTTCTTGTTATTGATCTCTAATTTTATTCCATTATGGTCATAAAAAATACTTGATTTGATTTTGATTTTTTTATATTAGTTGAGATATTTTGTGGCCTAACACATGTCCAATCCTAGAGAATTGTGCTAATGAAAAGAATGTGTATTCTGTAACTGTTAGATGAAATGATCTGTTTATGTCTGTTGAGGTACATCTGATCTATGGTGCCATTTAAATCTGTTGTTTCCTTGTTGATTTTCTGTCTCAATCATCTGTTCAATGCTGAGAGTGAGGTGTTAAAGTTCCCAACTATTATTGTGTTGGTGTCTTTATATCTGATAATAATTGCTTTATATATCTGGGTGCTCTGGTGTTGGGTGCATATATACTTATAATTGTTATATCTTCTTGCTATATTGATCCCTTTATCATTATATAATGCCCTTCTTTGTCTCTTAGTAACAAATTTTTAATTTTAAAGCTGTTTTACCTGTTGTAAGTATAGCTATTTCTGCTTGCTTTTGTTTTCAATTTGCATGTAATATCTTTTTCCATCCCTTTATTTTCAGTCCACGTGTGTCTTTGCAGGTAAGGTGTGTAGGCAGCATACTGGTGGGTCATTTTTTTTATCCATTCAGCCAGTCTATGTCTTTTAATTGGGGCATTTAATCTGTTTACATTCAAGGTTATTATTGATATGGGAGGTCTTACTCCGGTCCATTTGTTGGTTGTTTTTTGATTGTTTTGTGTATCTTTTGTTTCTTTCTTCCCTTCTGATTGTTTATCCTTGTGGTTTGGTGGTTTTCTGTATTGATAAGGTTTCATTTCTTTCTCTTTCTAATTTATGTATCTTCTCTACCAGTAAGCTTTATTTTCAGATATTTTCATGATTGCTATTATTTGTTTTCTTCTTCTTTTTTTTTTTTCCTTTTCTTAAGATTTATTTTTTTAAGTGACAAGGCCACTAGAAAGGGCTGTAGTGAGGGGGCCCACCTACTTCTCAGGTGGTGTCTGGGGCCACTAGGCAAGACTGTAAAGAGGGGTCCCATTCAGCCACTCTGGGACTGTTGGCAAGGCTGCTAGGAAGGCCTGCAGTGAAAAGGCTTGTCCAGGTGCTTTCAAGTGGGGGACAGAGCTGCTAGGCAGGCCTATAATGAGGGGGCCCAACCAGCCACTTTTGGGACTTTTGGCAAGGCAGCTCTGCAAGACTCTTCAGGACAGAATCACCTGGCCGTTACTCTGGGATGACACAAATGCACTTTATTTCCACCAGCCAAAGGGCATATTCTTTAGGGTAGAGACTGTGAGCTGTTTTTCTGGGTTGGAGGCTCAGATGCACTCTACTCAGTCAGCTATTGGGGCTGGGGAATAGGGGAAGAAATGGGGGGCAATCCATCTGAGGTGGATCTCCCTGTCTGATCTCTGGCTAAGGATGTGGGGGTGTATCAGTTCAAAAAGTCTAGGGTTGGCTTCTGAGACTGCAGAACTAGAGTCTCAGCTGCTGTGAGCCCAAGCTTCAAGCTGCTGGGATCAGGGCTGGGATGAGGGCAGAGCTTTAAGGCTGGGGAAGCACCTTGTCTACTGGCCCCACAGTAAGGTGCACTCTCTGCAAGGGTTCTGTTTTCATGAAGGTGCCCTCCTGCATCAGCATGGGTCAGGAGAGTGGGGAGTGGAGAATATAGTTTGTGCTCCTGCTCTAGAGCAATGCAGTGTGTGTATTCTAGGCTGCTCCCCTTACTTGTCTCTGGGCTTGTCCTGCAGAAGGATCTTCAGGCTTCTGTGGTAAGGAAGGGGTTTGATGTGGGTATTCTGCTTATCTTTTCACAGCGAGGGGAAATTCCTCCTGTACTGATCCCAATAATGGAGACATGGCAGCAGAGACCATGTGCCCTTCTCCTCTCTATGCCACCATCCTGGGCTTTCATGCTCAACACAGATCTCAGTGACTCCAGTCTCCTGTTGTACTTCTACACTCTTCAACAGATGTTCCTGTCAATATTTAGCTGTCTTTTAGTTGTTCTTGTCCTTTTTCTGTGGGAGGAACATGCCCTGGGATTCTGTAGTGTGTCATCTTTCCCCACTTCCCAAAATAATAAAATATTTTAAAGGATAATCTTTTAATCTTGAAACCATTCTTAGGACTAAATAGTGTACACAGAAAATTTAAAATATCCCTCCTTATTGGCTTATTAAGTGCTAGGGATACCAAATAAACAAAATACAGGGAATATACCATCAAATGGGTGAGACAATATATAATTAATTTGCTGTAATTCCATATACTAAGTACCATAATGAAGACATGCACAGAAGCACTGTGAGCACACACAGGGCATGCACCTTGACTCTATAAGATCAATCAGAAGTTCTCCAAGTAGACAAGGGGATAAGGCCACTCAAAGCAGAGGAAATTGAGAATAGTCTGATAGCTGCAACATAGGGTTTGAGAGTTCTGATGGCAAGGTGTGTTAGAAAGATAGGAACTGGCAAGACCACTAAAAATTTTTTTTTTAAGTCTAAGTAAAAAAGGGTTTTGACTTTATTTTATAGTAGTGGGGATACAACCAAAGAATAGATTTGCATTTTAGAAGAATATGCAGGATAGATTTGAGGAAAGGAACAGCAAGAACTAAATTTAACACTGTCACTGGAAATTTCAGAAAAGAAGAGTTTTGAGAGCGATGAGATTGGAGGATGGACAAGTTTATATAAAATAGAGAGGGACATTAGGGATGACCCACAGGATAGGATCTGAAAGGAAAGGTCATGATTTTATTTTTTAGCATATTGAGTTTGAGTGCCATGTGGAACGTCCAAGTGAACATGTGCAAGTGGATGGTTAGAATAGATTTGGAGTTCAGGAAAGATGCTGTTAAGACCTGTTAGAATATGAGTGATACCAAAAACCATGGCATATTATGAACCAGGAAACATATACAGATTAAGAAGAAAGCTGTAGATGGATGAATGACATAGTAGTCTGTTCAGGCTGCTATAACAAAAGTACCATAGATTGGGTGGGTGGCATCTAAACAACAGAAATTTATTTCTCACAGTTCTGGACTCCAGGAAGTCCAAGATCAAAGCATCAGAAGTTTGTTGTCTGGTGAACCATTTCATGGTTCATAGCCTCAGATTTCTGCCCTCATGACCTAATCACTTCCAAAAGGCCCCACTTCTAAATACCATCATATGGTGGATTAGGTTAAGAATTTTGTGGGAACGCATTCAGTCTACAAACAAGATAACAGCAACATTTAAGCATAAAGGAGCCAAAAAAGTCACAAGGATAAGGGTATGAAGAGCAGCATGTGGTGTCATGGAAGTTGAGGTAAAAAAAGATGTATGTAAAAGGGAAAAATCAATAGTATCCAATGATTCACAAATTCCAGGAAAATAAGGCTGAAAGATGTTGACTTAGTTTACCAAGTAGGAGGTTATAAGTGATTTTGTTGAAGATGTTTTTATTGTAGGGGCCTAAGAGGGAATGAAAGTCTCATTTTATAGTATTTATATGTAAAGCCAAGGACAGAATGTTTGTGTGTTCAAATAAGATTTGAATGTCCTGGGAAAATGTATGTTCAGCAGAGAAGGAATCAATTAAGGTGACAAATGGGACAGATAGAAAACTTCAGCAAATAGGAAATAATTATTCAATCATTTCAGTATACACACAAGAGAAATGAAAAATATATAAACAGATTTTCTGTTCTTTTTGGATATTTCTACTGACTGCAACATCTGTGGTATCAGTGGGAATGACCCAACTATATTTTTTTCATGATGATGGGTTATACTTTCCTACTTACTCTTGTGTCTCATAGCTTTCTTTACTGCACATAAGACATTGTGTTTAAAGTAATTGGAGAGATGGGTCAGGCGGCCAAGGTGACAGGGCCCAGGAAGGGGGTGGGTGTGATACCGATGGGGAGGGTAACTTCGTGGCTTTGCAAAGGTTGTCTGGAGTCCCTGAAGGCTGAGGTTCAGGACCCTTCACGGACGATGTGGCCGTTGCCGCAGAGGAGCTGGATGACCAACCCCGAGGGGCAGTCGAGGGTTTGTGCAGGTTTTACAACTTTAAAGCATTGCACAAGACCAGACAACAAGCTTTTAAAAATGATGCCAGAGCATTAGAAGCAGCCAGAATCAAGATAAATGAAGAATTCAAAAGTAATAAAAATGAGACTTCTCCTAAGAAAATAAAGGAGCTAATGAAAATAAGTTCCGATGTTGAATTGTTACTCAGAACATCTGTCATTCAAGGTATTCACACAGACCACAATACACACAAATTGGTCCCTAGGAAAGACCTTCTTGTAGAAAATGTGCGATATTGTGATACACCAACCCAGAAGCAATGAATATTCTAGGATAAAACAAGACTTTGCACTTTTTAACTTTAAAATACAGAACTCTGGCGGAAGTCCCTGAACTGGCATATTAAAAAATGAATGAATTAAAGAATAGTTCATAATTTAAATAAATAAATAAAGTAACTGGAGAGAGTGGAGTAAGTTTTGTTTTCCCTTGGAGAGGGAAGCCCTTTTCAGGCTGTTAGAGTAAGGAATCAATCACTTCTATCCAATCAGGGGTTGAGCTGGATTGTCTTCTGTTGCAGCTTTGGTAGGTTTCTATTGTGTTTGAAGGTGAAATCTGCCCTATCTCTATTACCAGTCCCTCCCTTTAGTTCTTCAGAATCTAAACACTGAGGGATTACAAAAATCTTTCTTTCTTTCTTTCTTTCTTTCTCTCTCCATTCCAGCACAGCATTCCCGTTCCCTGCATTACTTCAGAAGTTCCATTGGAAGAATTCAGTGTGGAGAACTAGCTCTGCATCTGGGGTTTCTACACACTCTAATCCATCACACCAGTCTAAAAATCTTTGTAAATTTGTAAATTATAAAACTACAAATTTATAAATTTTAAATTAACTCAGCAAAATCTGTGCCTGACAGGTCTAAGTCTCAGCCCACCCACTCCCAGATCTGGCATCTCTAAATCCCTGGATACTGCATCAGGACTGCAGTGGCCACTGCTTCTCCTAAGGACATTCTAGGAAGAAGGGAAAGGGCAGCTTCTCCACTGTCAATATATCACTCTTCAGAGAAAGAGGTCACAGCATGTCATCTCTCTAGCTCTAGTCTTTTTTTTTTTTTAAACTTCCTTTTTTTAGTGTATCCTGCTGCTATTTCTTCCTGTTAACTTTGGCTTCATGATGTCACTTTCCTTTTTAAGCCAATTTTTTCCTGATTTTTATATATGTTTTAATGATGACTTATTTTGATACACTTCAGTATTATTAGTGTGTGTAAACAAATTTATTTTAATCAGCAGCAACACTTTAGGGTGGCTTTATTAGCATAAGGAAGGTTATAGTAGTTATTTATTTAAGAAATCTATGATGTTTAAGATTTGTATTAGTTGGAAGAGAGGACTTTGCACCATTTTGTGTATAACATCTACAAAATTGCAAGCCAAATCATCTATGCCAAGGGTTGGAAAAATTGCAAGCCAAATCATCTATGCCTGTGTGTCAAATCTGGCCCACAGATTTTCCTTCTGTTTTTGTAAATAAAGTTTTATTA